AAGTTAAAATTTTTAGCTTATGAAAAAATTAGATTTTTAACTTTTTTGTGACTTCTCCTTTTTTTAAAAGCAGACATCCAAACGAATTAAAGAGTCCGTTTGTTTGGACTTCTCAAAAAGTAACTTTTATCTCTTCCTTATTTTAAAAGTACTTTTTATAAAAGTTAAAGCTATTTATATTTTTATAAAAATATTTAGTTTTTGAAAAAAAATATTTGACTTTTGACTTCTGCTTTTCTTAGAAGTTAAAATTTTTAGCTTATGAAAAAATTAGATTTTTGACTTTTTTGTGACTTCTCCTTCTTTTAAAAGCAGACATCCAAACGAACTAAAAACGAAAAGTGCTTTTTTTCTTGAAAAAAAGTAGTTTTTGAAGAAAAAAAGTAGCTTTTGAAGAAAAAAAAGTTCATCCAAACGGGCCCTAAAAATGAAAAGTGCTTTTTTTCTTAAAAAAAAGTAGCTTTTGAAGAAAAAAAAGCTTATCCAAACGGGCCTAAGTAGGACTAATGAACTTGGTGCTTTTTTTTATGCTATGAGGACAACATATTTTTAAGTTTGGGGTTATGATGGGACCTGGGTAATTCTGAAATTGGTATGCCTCATGATAATTTAAAGTGGTGTTGTTTTAAATTGAAGAATTGTTGCTGTTTGGATTGATCTGAATAGTTTAATACATTTTGAGCGTAACAAATATATACTCATGAGTTCTATGAGAAGACACTGTTTTCTCTTGAGAATAAATGTTGAACAAGAGATGAGTATGAATTGAATGATCTAAATGTTGCACTGATATGTGAATGCCTAAAAGAAAAAATGCACTCTGATTTTAAAGCATCAAGGAGGCCAATAGGTGATTAGAATTAATGTCAGTGCTTGAAGGCTGAAGCCTTTAAGGAGATTGAGACACCAAATAGAGGCTGAAAAGTTCTTAAGCTATACCCTTAAGAGTGTCTATTACTAAAGCACAAGGAGTGAACCTTGAGGAATAGCATCTTTAGATAGATTGAAGTTGTGAGAGGGCTTAGGATTCCAAATCTAATGAAGTCTAGACCTTGAAACTTTAAAGAGAGCAAAAGAACTGAGACACCTTCTTTTCTAATGGTGATAACCTGACATATTATATTTGAAGTAAAATGTGAGGTTCCTCTGTTTGGGTTGGGAGTCAGAATATCGAGCCGCAAAACAAAGTTTTGCAACTTGTTGAAGGTGACCCCAAAAAATAAAGGGCTTTATAAGAGTTATGTTGTAGGAAAAGTGATTGTGTTATGTTATAGAGATTCGTTTTGCGTGCCGAAGTTTTTTTTTTTTTTTTTTTTGCTGCGGGCCCCACAAAATGTTGTGTGTGTAGGAAAATTTTTGTGGTCATGTTAAATGATAGATGATAAACCAAAAAATAAAAGGGTGACTTCCAAGCAAAGTATAAAATAAAGGTTCCTCTGTTTGATTACCAGCCCGAATATTGAGCCTGCAAAACAAAGTTTTGCAACTTGTTGAAGGTGACCCTAAAAAATAAAAGGGTGACTTCCAAGCAAAAGTGAAAAAAAAAGGAAAAAAAAAAAAAGAAAAAAAAAGAAAAAAAAGAGAAAAATAATAATAATCAGGGATTTGATCCAACTAAAGTTAGGATATGTCTTGTGTTCCGATGCATAAAAACTCTTGTAGGATTGATAGGTTTGGGCCGAGTTAGAAGTGAATCATGCAACTAAGCCTAATGACCATGACTCAATTGATTCTAGAGATGCTAAACTAATAGGCTTGCTCTTTCCACACACAAACGAGACATTTTTTAGGGTAAAGCTTGGTGAAAATAGTAGGCTAATATGAGGAGTTGAGATCAAATTAAGGGTGAAGACTGGATAGCAACTTAAAAGTTACCTGTTGGCTGAACTGAGAACTTTAATTTTGGAGTGCTAGTTCAAAGTAATTCACATGTCAATCAAGATTAATAATTTGATCATCAAAGTTGAGTCTTGTTCTTACATATGATATTTTTTATTTTTGCATGTTGTGTGTGGGGGACACTTTGAGTTTAATTTGACTTTTCTATGTTCTCTTAAGTTTAGATTTGGCACATGGTCCTCTTGACTCGTGGTTTTTTTCTCTCTACTTTAGAGAGTTTCACCACGTAAAAGGGGATCAATTATTAGGAAGGAAGCCACACTGAAAACAAGACACTTGAGGGAATGAATTTGAGAGAACTTTTCCTGAGAATATATATAGGGCGGCCTTATGGTGTTTGAAAATTGTATCAAAACCTTTACACATATAGTGGATTTTTATTTCTGCCGTGGTTTTTTTTCCCCCTCTACATTAGAGGGGTTTTTTCCACGTAAAATTTTGTGTGTTATCTCTCTCCTATTTTTCTTTTTATAATTTCAGTTGAATTTCTATTGTTTCAATATTCAACTCTTTACAAAATTAATCACGACTAAAATTACACAAAAGTGGCTTTTTACGAAAGTAAACTTCAAAGCTTGATTTATAAACCTATAACAAATTGGAAATTACTAATTAACATCACAAAATTTTCTGTTCATGTAAATTTGCTGGTTCGCCGCCAACATAATTATTTTGCCTAAAAAGCATTACTAGTCTATACGAGTCCATTATTCTTACCATGTTAATGTAATTTAGAGTGTGTTTTTAATAAAAAAAATTACTTCCATGCTTATTTTAAAAGTGTTTTTTATAAAAGTTAAAATTATTTAGATTTTTAAAAAAAAAAAATTTTTTGAAAAAAATTTGATTTTTAACTTTTGCTTTTTTGATAAGTTACAAATTTTAGTTTTTGAAAAAAAGCAAGTTTTTAGTTTTTTTTATGATTTCTGTATTTTGTAAAAACAGGTATCCAAATACACTTTACAATAGAAGTCTTTTATTTTTTTTTGAAAAAAAAAATAATTTTTGACTAAAAAAAACTCATCCAAACGGGTTCTTAATCATACATTCCCTTTTATGGGAGCTGTAAAACGTAATTATATAAGATGGAGATTTATCTCATGCAGTGACAATTAATAAAGGGGTTTGCATTTATCATGCAACAGGGAAAAAAAAAGTTTCTTGTACATACAATATTTTATAGGATCTATATTTTTTGAAGAAAAAAAAATTAAGACACGAAAAATAAATTTCTATAACATGAAAAATTCATTGATAAAAAGGAAATACAAAAAATGAAAAAAATACTAGCTAGTGGGAACACCTTATTAGGACATTTGAAATGTCAACTTTATTTCACATTCTCATAAAAATTAACGTCAAAGCCTATATAAAATTGATTAAACAGCACGAATATGGATTATAGTAGCCACAACTCTTAATATGACCTTTATTCAATAAAAAACAACCAATTAAATTATGGATCACAACTTTCTTAAATAGGCAACGGAAAAAAATTATAAAATAAAATAAAATAAAAAACTCAATAAAAAGAACTCAAAAAGCCCAAAAATTATTGGGGCTCATAACGATGAGTCTTAATCTGATGGCCGATTCCAATTGCTGCTCTAATTTAAAGCCGTTTCGAAATGGTTACCACCCCATATACATCAAAAAGCAATCTCAACGAGTTGTGCTTATAACAGGACATTTGAAGCACTTTTTACCCGTTTCCAAGAGCTAGCATACTGATCTATAGTCGACTCCATGGATAAAGAATTAACATCATTTTATCAAATACTATCAAATACAGGAAAAGAAAACTGCTCTTTTGTATATAAAATACGTTGCATTATCTTGTAGTCAGTGCCATCTTAAAATTCTGGTTTCGCATCAATGATAAGAGTATTTTGGCTTTGCAATAAAGCAAGAATCACATTCTCTTCTTTTGCAAATATTTTCCTCTTTGTATTTCATCTGAAAAGCTTCTTGAAGGCCTTTACAACAAAGCTATCGTGCAAATAAATTGACTATTTCAACTAAGACCAGAAACAATTGATGACATTGCATCCCATGTAGTGCCGATACCGATACGCGATACCATACAATATGACACTCCGATACGTTAATTTTAAAAAATATTAGATTTCGTCACGTTAAGACATATTTTGATATTAAATATTATTTTTAATTTATGTAATGTATATTGTATATAATACTCAATAATTTAACAAAAAAATAAAGTTAAATTTATAATACCCACCAATTTTGCAAATAAACATAAGATATCCCAAATATTTATATTAAACTCAATAAAATGGTAATCATAATCCAACGAATTTAATAATTGGAACTAAAAACGCAACGCAATGCAACCTTTGAACCTTTCCTTGAGTCTCTACAATGCGTGTTGGAGTGTCAGGAAGTGTCAGAGAGCGTCGGAAAGTGTCGAACATGACATGTCAGGGTTTTTGAAGTGTTGGTGCTTCATAGATTGCTTCCATATATATTTCTCAAGCATATATTTATCTTCGATCATCTCAAAACTACGTCGTTTTGTTTATTTATTTTCTTATATTAATTGATTCACCTTTGAATGGTTACGATTCTCTTTTATTCTCTCTTCCCTTATCAGCATTGATCCATCGTTATACGGTTATCAATATAAAGTTATCTCAAACAGCTTGAGAAATGATAAGCCCTATATATATAGGATTTAATTTTTCTGCAGGATTTAACTTTTCTACAGTTGAGGCAGAAAAATTATCTGCAGTACACTATGTATTACGAGCAGTACGTAGTGTAACTTTTGAAATGAACTCTATATTATGTACTACTCGTAATATATAATGTACTATAGATAACTTTTATACTTTAACTACAAAAATGTTTTTCTCATTTATATATATATATATATATATATATATATATATATATATATGACAAGTTATTCTTAAATAGGTATAAGAATATGAAATGGTCAAGGTAGTGAAATCTATCGGCTTAATATTTAATAAATCATAAATAAGATCAACACCAAGATTATTGAAAGTGTAACTTGTATAAGACAATCTTGAACTAAATATATGTTTGTTATTGCTGTCAATAACCAAAATATATATCTACTTATGACTGCACATGTCCAAAAGCTTCTTCCTACCTTCTACAATTTCATCAAAAAAATCATCAAGTTGCCCTGTTATAGTCTCAACCCCACATCTCAACAACCCAAAACAACGTTTCAACTTGTCAACTTTTGCTTGGATCTCATGCCGTGTTTCATAACTCACTATTCTCTCCAACTCCACTTTCAATTCCTCCATGGCAATCTTTGCTTGTTGGAATTCAAGGAGCAGAATCCCTGGCTGCCCATTAATCTGTTCTATCTCCTCTGCAACTTTCTGTTGCAATCTTTCCATTGAAACCATGAAACCAGATCCAAAAACCACGTGCCCTTCATACACTTGTTGGTGAAAGCACGAGGAAGACCAACAATATGCAACTCCACACAGCAAAATCATCAAAAGTAATGAGTTAACAATCTTCATTGCATAAAGAACACCTCGGAAGCCATTGAACTCGTTTAACTTTGATTCCATAGAGATGTTCTGATTTAGACATTGAGACAATGTATGGATTCTTGTTTCCATCAAGCTTTTATTTTCCTCTTGCAATCCTAGAATCTCCCTTTGACAAATATTTATTGCCCTAATGACCTGCATATATGTCTATTAGACCCATTAAATAAACTTGATTGAGTTAGTTTTCTAAAAACATTAAGCTTTTGACAAAAGTTTGGAAAAGAATTTGATATTTGCGCATATATATACCAACCTGATGTGAAACCTGTGGAGTTAAATGATGGAAGCCATCCACTATGGAAGCTATATTAGAGCTAGCTGAGCAATAGTTGTCTATTCCAGAAATGGCAGATTTGAGTACATGACATACATCCCAAAGCCTTGAGCTTTCATCCATGTATTCATCTAGCCATTTTCCTCCAACTGGCAAGCAAAGTTTTTGGACCAAAATGATTAAGTGGGAATTGAAGGATTGGAGAGATGAGAGCATCTCTGAAATGAATTGGATTGACATGAAGTTATGGGAGTGGAATGATTGGTGAAGTTCGTTGAGTCCTTGAGTAATGAAGTTGTAGAAGCCATTGACAGAAGAGTTATTGCATGAAGAACCCATCATGAAAGGTAGGGAAAAGAAAGAGTGGTTGTAGGAAAGTTGATGAAGATTGATGGATTTATATAATTGGAAGATTAAGGAAAAAGAAATGCAGCAATCAGTGAAGTGGGTAGCTTAGAGGTTTATAACTTTTTATGGTGAAAGTTATTGTTGGGTGCAATTATGGCTGTTTCCTGTAGAGTGGAAAGGATGATTGGGAATCTTCTATTTTTACTTTTAGTTGTGAAATAGGCACATTCTGTAATAATTTTTTTCCCATTAAACCTTGATCAGTGAATATGGATTGAGGCAATCCTTATAGACAGTTTTATTATTATAGTTATTTTTCAAATTCGAACCCGTAATCATTTAACCACAATGTATAAAAAGAATCTTGAGTATTAAAAAGAGATATAATATTATGGATCATATAAAGAGCATAAACAAATGTGCAACATGAAAACTAAATATCACATACACACACGGACAAATTTAGAATACAACTGGTGTAGGTGCGACCAACCAATAAAAACATGTCATGTCAACCGTCTTTGTACTGAAGAGAGAAAAAAAAAAGTAATTTTTGTAATTTATACTATGTATTACCGAAAATAGATAATGTAAATTTGGATTATCCAATTCAATACTACCGTTGTACTAAAAAGTGCGCTCCACACACACAAGGTTTTAGTATAAGGTTGGATTATGTTTCCTGGGTTTAAAAGTTTGACTGATTTGAGTAAGATTCTGTTTCTCATTCTTCCATTTTGATTTGTTTCCCTGTTGCATTTAAAGTGCTTCCTCTTGGCTTCTTTTTTATTTTTTATTTTCTCTTTCCTTCCCGTGTCATTATAACTCCTCCACACTGCACCTTTGTGTCTTGGCTTTCTTAAAAAAAGTGCTACATAGTCCGTTTTGGTTCTTTTGAAAAGAGAAATGAATGATAAGGTTCTTTGTACTGGCAGAATTTACGCATTACAATGGAGATTTTTCTTTCTCCTTTGGCACCCAACATTCTATTCTGTGCATTAAATTAAAGCACCCACATTGTAACCAAAAAATAAAAATTAAAGCATCTTACATTTGTATGAAATATTATATATAAGTATAACGCCCCTTACACATTCCTAATGATTCAGAAAGCAAGCAAGCTCAGAGACAGATATGCATGATGAGTACTTTTGGTATGGACCATACAGGAAAAGAAGGAAAAATACATGGTTACATTATTATTATTATGTATCATCTAGTAAAGTAGAATAAAAGTGATTAATTATTATTATGTATCATCAAAATGAACTTAAAAAATCTTTACCTCTTTCTTATTCCTTTCTTACTATTATGTTCTCACTATGTTCTTGACGTTCACACTTTCAATAATTGGGTTGACTTCAATTTTCTGTGAAAGTTTATTGAGGGTTTAATTCACCAAATCATTGCACACATTGATAATAGCCATTTGTATGGTTCAGTTTTAAAGAAAAGACAATGCACCTAAGCAAAATAGAACCAATCTATCATGAAAGGACAACACTTACTTTGCTTTTTTCCACTGTTTAGCTGATTTTTTGGGCAAATGAAACCTTTGTAGGAAACCGTATCAAGTATTCATAGATATTGGTCCTGTATTATAAGAATTTCCCCCACTTTGTTTTTTTTGAGACTATATTATTGATGTTATTTCTGATATTGACTCATCATTATCCTAGGTCTGTGGCTACTTCTACATATAATTGATTTGATTTGAGACAAAATAAGACCATATTCATTTTATTTCAATGACCTTTAACAAACATTCATTTGTGGATATGTTGGTGTCCACGCAATTAACACGTCTAAATCATATGTATGATACATCATTGGTGATTAAACATATCCTATTTTTGGTAACCTTGTGAGATCTGTTATTAGGTAGTTATTGTTCTTGTTCTGAATTATATTATGGCCAAAAGTCAAAACCATGAATTAGAAGCCAACTGAATAATCCTTGCAATTAACCACTTCTTTATGTCTTTGAGAAAATAACGTCTTGGTTGATCATGAAGGCTTTGCTTTCATACATTATAAATAATATAATTAGTTTAATTTTAATATACTGTTGATATAAAAGAAGATTATGTTATTATCTAATATTGTTTTCACGTTGTTTAATGAGTTTGGCAACCCATGAAATGTTAAATTTATTAAATAATAGGCAATACATTATTGGACGGTGTCACTTTTTTTTACACATTAAAATTATGTTTGAAACATAGGCATACCCATATACCAGCCGGGCATTGGTTGGTTGAAAAGAAGTCAGGATACTACACGGTGACAAACTGCTGAAAGAATCATAGATTTGTTAAATAAATTTCAACAAGCACAACATTCTGTATCTCTTGTTCATAACTCTGCCTTGGATTCCAAGTCCTCATTCAATGAATCTTTATTAGTCAAATCCTTTGATTGATTAGGGGATTGCTTTGGTTCTTGATCATCGCCTAAGATTTGTGCAGTGAATCTTCTAGCCTCAAAATCAAGGTCTGGCCACTCAGAAACTATTCGTCTAGCACCCTAAAGGTCCAAGTTAAAGTATGTTAAGAAACGTACATAGAAGACAGAGGAGCTGCAAAAACAAGTTTCCATGGACAGAAAACTTGAAACAGAAAACATTCTCCTGAAGTTTGGGTTCTTTTGTCATGGGATTGTTGCACAGATCGATGGTTTTTGCCTTATATTTTGTAGCATTACCACACCATGATTCACACCATAGCCATTCTTGCGGCAAAGAGAAAATGGGCACGGTATGCTGAGCATAATTAGGAAGATCCTAAACCATTGAGGGAAAATTTCACCAAAAAGGACACCTCAAAAGGAAAAGGTATACATTTAAAAGACAGAAGTGTAATGTGAAATACATTGGAAGTAAATGTGAATGTGCTCATCTTCATGCTCTTTGAAGAAGTGTTTTGCTGACGAACCGAAGGATTTTGGATCTCTCAAATATTTCTTGGAATGGAGGTGGCTCGTAGTAAAGAAGGAATTTCTTTAACTCAGAAGAAATATATTCTAGACCTGTTACAAGAAACAGGAATGCTTGGGTGCAAGCCAGCAGAGACTCCAATTGAACCAAATATTAAATTGGGAATTGAAGCAGGAAAGATGTTGACAGGGAGCAGTACCAGAGGTTAGTGGGGAAGCTAAGGCCTGATATTACATTCGCAGTTAGCATGGTTAGCCAACTCATGTGTTCTCCTAAGGAAAAACACCTTAGTACAATTTATAGAATCCTCAAATACCTCAAAAACACTGGTCAAAGAATACTTTTTAAAAGGGGACACAAGAGGATGATTGAAATCTATACAAATGCAGATTGGGTTGGCTTTGCAATGGACCGAAGATTCACTTCGGGATATTGTACCTATGTCTGGGGAAATCTTGTGACCTGAAGAAGTAAAAAACAAACAGTTGTTGCCAGAAGCAGTGCAGAAGTAAAATTTTGGGCTCTAGCCCATGGTATTTGTGAAGGAATCTGATTAAGAAGACTTCTTGAGGAATTGAAGATCTCTTATTCCCTACATGTTAGATTCAAGGTTGTTGAATCGCAATACGTGTCGTGAATCGTTCAGCTGCTTTTTTGTATCGTGAATCGTATCGAATCGTAAGATTCAGAAACAAATTAAAAATAACTTAAAAATATATAATATCATATAAATCCAAATTAAATGGCAATGCATTGCCATATACGCATCTACAAATATCTCGAACCACCAAATCTCTATCCTTCACCATTGAATTTATAGTTTGTTGTTTCATAGCAGATGAGCCACTTCCACTTTTTCCTTTTATCATAAAACTATCCATGCTCCCTTTTTTTTGTGAATCTTTATCATCGAAGCACTCTAGTTCATCATCATCTCTTGCATCCTCTAATATTTTTTTTAAATACATCCCTTATCTCTTCCGGCACTTGTTGGCATGGAGCAACTTCTTTGTGTGTTCCAGCTAGATGGTGCTTCATTCTAAATGCTCCTCCCCACGTTGTTTTGGGACAATAGTTACATTTAACATTCAACCTATTCGCAAGGGATTTACAATGATCCCAAGTTATATCCTTCTGTTTTTGGAATTTCTTCTTTGGAGCCATTTTTATTATTTCTATTACTGTAAAAGAGAGAAAAAAAAATCAAAGGCAAAAAATATTACCCAGTTTGTCACTTGCGAACTCATTAAATATATTAAAATGATTGCAAGACCAAGTGTTTTTTCATGGTGAAACCACGTAACCCAAAGATGCAGCACATACTTTTAATCAGCCCATCATCTTGTAGCCACATACCCATCAACTTTCAAGTTTCAACGGACACCACACATGCCTTACATAATATTTTAATATATTTAAGTTTTTAAAGTTAAATTACCAAACACCAATTATAAAATATTACCCAAAAGCAGTTTGCAAGCCTTCTTCACAGCTCGTCTCGTTCTTCGCTTCACTTCTTCACAGTTTGCAAGCAGTTTTTCGTTTTTCTTTTTTTTCTTTCTGTTCTTTGATTCTCTTCTCTCTTTCTTGTTTTCTTTAATTTGTTTGTTTAATGGGATTTTGAATCCCTAATATTTCTGTTTTCTGAAGCAACCGACCTTTGAGAATCCAAATTTCGTGATCTTTCAAATTCTGACATTTGATATTTATTTTTTTAAATTCAAATCCTGACTTTTGATTTTTTTATTTTTTTTAAAATTTGAATCGCACAATATTTACGATTCACCAATTCACAACTGAATCGTTCGATTCCACGATTCAGCAGGACGATTCTGTGCAAAAACGATTCAATGATGTGGTTCGAATCGTTTTTTCCCCGTATCGGATCGAACCGTGCGATACATATCGCGTATCGTGCGATACTAACAACATTGGTTAGATTGTATTATGATAATAAGACTGCTGTAATATTGCTCAAAATCCTGTTCACCATGACAGAACAAAACAGTGGAGGTTGATTGTCACTTTATCAAAGAAAAATTGGAGGATGGTAGTG